TAAACTCATGCCACGTATCCGGCAAATGATGACCTTGGGAAAGCTGCAAATACCAGTCACCAGCTGCACCTGTGAGCCAATTACCAATATTCCGCAGTAATTGCGAATCACCAGCCCGAAATAACGTTCGCATTTTCTGTTGGTACTCATGCAAAAACTTATTAGGCTGCTCATTCGCTTTACCACCGAAACGAGTAATTGAATCATTAATGGTAACTTGTAGAGTTGCCGGAGAAGTGAGAACAGTTGATCGTGAAGAAGAATTAGAAAATTTTCTTTTTGATTTTCTTTTTCTTCGGGATTCTGAAGTTATCTCTTTCCCATCGTAATGCGAATCATCATCATCACTGCTACTTGAAAACGAAGAAGCGTTTTGTTTACGATGATGTTTCTTATTTTTCAAAGTTTTACTTTTCTTGTGAACTTCTAAAAATTCACTTTTATCTGAATGCGTAGCGTCACTTCCTGTTAGGGAACTATTTGAAGATGATAAGGATGGCGCAGAAGATTTCTGATGGTGATTTGTCTTAGGTTTTTGTTTTATTTTTGTTTTAGACTTAAGACCAACTTCTGTTCTAAGAGAAGAAATAGATTGATCGGTAGATGGTGACCTTTTGTGCTGTTTCTGCAACTTAACAGGAATTTTCTTTCTCGTCTTTCGTTCGGAAACAAGTTTTGATTCTTTGACAGAAGTTTTAGCAGATGTATTAAATGGTAAAGTCTTAGCAGATGTATTAAGAGGAAAAATCTCAGTCTGCGTGCTAGAATCACTTTTTGTAATAGAAAGCGGTAAATGTTCTTTAGAGTGATGACACGATGGGCATTCTTCCAAAATCTCTAGATTTTTCTCTTTATTTCTACCATGCGACGATAACGAATTTGCATGTCGAGAAAAATCTGAATTAGAGGAATGCAATTGCTTTACAGGCAAAGAAACGTTCGATACGCGTAAATCCGCAGCAACCACTTCAGCAGTCGAAGGAACATCGGTTAAAACCGGTGTCCATTTTTTGACTGCTGTTAATTGAGGTTGTAATGAATTTTGCTGCTGATCTATGACACGAACCAGTGCTTCTGCCTGTATTTTCTGTATTTTCATAGCTTCCAACATTAACTTGTTCATTGTTTTCACTACACCAGTGGAAACATGTGATCCAGCTTTCGATGCAACTGATCTGGCAGAACTGCATCGGGAAGAAACTGAAGCCTCTGATGGCTTCACTGGCACTTTAGCTTTTTGTGACGGTGAAACAACTGATGCCTCTCGTTCCATCGAAGATGCATCTCGCTCTGTTGAACTGCTCAGATGAGGAACAGCTATTTTCTTATCTTTATCTAAGGTAATTTCCCGAGACATATCGAATTCAGATAAAGATACGTTCTCAGGTGTCTTACTTTTGCACCACCACCGTCGTATGATTATATTAGGTCTTACCTCGTGCTAATAGGCTATGTCAAAAGCTGATGTTACTTTGAATCAAAGCTGATAAGTAATGAATGAATAATAACAGTATACTTCACTAATAATTAATGTTCAATAAAACGAATAATCGGACTGTTCTTGTTGGTCTGATCTTGTACGATAAAAACTAGATCAAAATCTGGGTAGGACCTCCAATTTGTGGCGCTCGTTAGGCCCTACTAACAGCTTCACAAAACAACCTGCAGATCAGTTTTCCCAAACAGTAACAATTATTGTTTTCACAACAATTAATATTATTTACAAAAACAAATCTACGACAGTAATAGTAATGTAATTCTACAGCTAATAAATGAGAAATGTTATTGTTGAGGGTGGTGATTCCTTCTCTTGTAATCACTGCTTGTTCGAAGAATATGTAATGCAATATGTAACGATTGATATGGAGAAGGAGAATCGAAAACTAGTGGTCGAAAACAAGTATTGCAAACGAAATACTAAATTATAAAATATTAATAGAAGAAGAAGAAGAAGAGATTTGAATTTGAGAAGAATGTTTAAGAGAGATGTTAACTTGAAGATTAAAGTTGAGAATAAGAGATCTGAATTTGAAGTTGAAAATTGACAAGAATCTAAAAAGTTTTAAATTCACTCCTGATTACAACTCGTTTTTCGTGTAACCGAGGAACAACGAATATAACTGTTAAAGCAAATTATTGTTTCATATTTATTCATATTTTTAAGATGAATGAATATGAATTAATTATTTCATTCTCTCTCTTTCTAAACTTCACCAAATAAATAACGTAAACGGAAACAAAAATCTCGAACTAAAGATTAAGCAAAAGGACACAGAGGTACATTATACTAACGTACCCTCGGGTTCTTAGAAATAATATCACTGTGTTTGACGAGGAGTAATGAAAGATAACGGACATGGCCGTTACAGGGGGGACTAACGCGAGGTCTCAGAGCCTAGCTAACCCAATTGATATACGCATCCTAGGAAACTTGGTCCATATCCCGTAATACTTGGGACCACTCGTAGGTGGACTTCGAACCATCCTTATCCTCCTGCGCTTCTCAGCTAGCCGTCTCGCGCCAAACGGGAGCTCAAGTACATTCACTATTGGATCCTGATCGTGGCTCAACCAGGAAAGTCTAGCGGATGCTTCGCTCTGTGAGAGAAGCCAGAGGGGGGTGTAGCTTTTGCTTCCCTACTGAGCTATATTTCCTAGTGAATCCGTCACATTCACCATTACTGGTTCGGTCCGTGGGTTAGTCCTGGCATTAAGCCGATCCGAAAAGGTATTATTCTTGTCCATTACCACAACCTGATCCATAACCTAACATCATTAACCTAGTTTAAGGTC